AACGCAAAAGTATTGCGAGGGAACGAAAAAGAAAAAAAAAAACAATATCCCCTCGTGGGCTCTGTATCTAGAAGCAGTACAGACACAAAAGTAAGTTTAAAAACATGAAAAAAGTTAATTTTTGCACAATAGGTGCCCTTTAAGTTGAGACTCGAGTTTGACACGTGTGTGTTATATAAATAAACTGACCCTGACATTAATGTGCAGAACCTCAGAGGGATTTCTAACCAGGACAGGTCTTTTAATCTTTACATTTAAAACAGAACCAGGACTCGGCTCCTAATCTGAAACCTGATTCACCTCAGCTGAGTCCTGTGGATGAGGAAGAGCTCAGTCCGKACCTCCTCATGTCTGAGGCTGAAGCCGATCGAGCCTTAATGTGGTGGAGGGTTTGAGTTCCTGCATGATTCTGGAGGATGTTGGCCTCAGGGTGAGGGGTCAGGCTGAACCATTTCAAGTTTTGAATAGGAAACCTCGTACGGAATAGATTCAAAAAGTACCTGGTAGTCAGGTTTTGGTTTCTCCAACTTCCTCCTCTGAGCCAAACATGAACTCACAGCAGCGATAAAAGTCAGCCAGAATTGGTTCATGCTGAATTTTACAACTTACAAGTTCTAACAGCGCTTTAGTTAACCCTTCCATTTATGATATGTTTCGGATCAACAATTAAAAATATCAAAACCTTGATTTCTTTACCAAAAGACTAATTGTATTTTTAAACAAAGAATCATTGATCCATTTATCTCCATGGTTGTCAGAAGTGGCAACTTTGATTTTAAGTTCAAACAGCTTCTCTGCTAAATCAATTTTGTTGAAGGGAAAGTAAATTTAACACTAATGAAAATGTCAAATATTGCACAAATGAGTGTTTCTGAAACAGAATCAGTTCTCGTCTTCAGACGTTTGAACGTCGAGCAGAACGAGCAGCCTGAGAGCATCGAGAGCTCCCCGGTGAGAGAAAAATGCTCCAAATTCACTAAATAAAAATAAAAGGCAGCTAAACTACTTCCAGCTCCAAGTCACTGCTGACAACCACACACACACACACACACACACACACACACACACACTCACGCAGAGCGAGGCAGAGCCAACGGGAGAACAGAGGCCCAGAGAGACAGATTGTCTTTTAATTGGTTGAAAACTGCAGAGCTTTGAGAATAGCTGAGGGGGAGGACAGACACACACACACACACACAGCAAACACACACACACACACAGCAAACACACAATGTCCTCTGTGATAGTAAGGAGACGTAGTCGGTCCCTGCTGACCGAGCAGCATAATGAGCTGAACTCCAGCCAGCTCACAGAGCGCTCGTCAGGACGGTGTCTGTTGGTCTGAGTGCCGGTTGGTAACCTGCTGATACTATCAAAATAAAATACAAGCCTGGCTCAAAGGTTCTGGGTCAGGCTCACGTATGGAAAAAAAAGCACACGTGTTTGGTTCTGCTGCTGCATCACAAAACAAATGTTCGACTGATACAGATTACCAAAGCTCGAAACACATAGAAATGCTGAGTCATCATATTTCACTGCTGATTAAAACAATAAAAGTAACATTCCTTGAAGAAATGCTTTTTGTTTTCCAGGTGTGTAATTATGAAATCTGCACTCAGTGTGAACAAAGGGTTTAACTGAATTCGCTAAAAACAAACGATCAAGTCACATGATTGGCCGGTACTAATCTGGTAATAGTCTGTAGAAATGGTGAAATTGGACAAGTTTTGAAAGCTAAAGAACTGTGTAGAATAAATATCAGGGATGAAGAAGAGAAGTGAATCTAAACGTAAAAGACAGAATCTAAAACAGAACAGAATGACCTAAATGTTAGAATTTGTTGCCATTAACTGATGTGAGCAGATTAAAAACTAAGTCCAGATGTCACCTTTTGATTGTGCGAAGCAGCGTGGACCTGGCCTCGTTGTGGAAGGTGATGATGATGGATGTCAAAGGAAGATCAGAGTCGTAGTGAAGAGTCGTGCACCTGCCAAACAAGAGCATAAAAAAAGAAGAAATGAGATTTATTCATCCTGTGAGGACAAAGAGCTGCAGTGGTAAAAAAAAGTGAGAAAATATGTAAAATTTGCAAATTATTTGTGTTTAACAAACATAATGAGACATGATGCTGCAAATTAATGCTGTTTAGAGTGGGATGAAACTAGACAGAACAAACCTTATATAGTAGAGATTGATACTTCACACGTTTTTCTTTCTGCATACCCAACCCTAAAACTGACACTACATACCCGACCCTAAAACTGACACTACATACCCGACCCTAAAACTGACACTACATACCCGACCCTAAAACTGACACTACATACCCGACCATAAACCTGACACTACATACC